ATAACAATAACAGCCGCCGACAGAAATTACAACAATGATAGTAGATGTAACATTAATAACAACGCGGAGCAAAACGTAAGCAATACGGGACAGACATGGCAGTTTGAGAATTCAGCAGCAAATAACAAATTAGTACAGTATACCCCTTGTGTTAACGCTAGACATTTAAAGCCAGACCAAGACAAACTTGTGCACCAACTGCAACCAGCAACCATCTTAACAATCTATTCCGTGAAACAAATCTATTCCGTAAAACAAATATCACGTGCTTTAAGGTACTCCAACAATCCCAGCCTAAAATTTGCACTGTTCTCCCTGAGGCGTAAAGAAGCGGGCAATGAGTCCCAAAGGATCATGGCTTGTACTGTAAATGAACTTTCATATGCGGCAGTACGAGCCAGAGGGATAGCAAAGCTAAATTGTTGAAGACGCCCAGAGCGCCGAATTTCGCCTCTCGGCGGCGAGAATACGGCATACAAGTACTCCGGCTTTTGAGTAGTAAAGGTTTGGTACAGTACCGAGGCCATAAAGTATCTTCTTCTCGCTCGGATCGATAGCCAACCTAACTTGTCGTAGGAAGGTATAAGACAGGCGTCTTATACCTTCTTATATTCTTATTTCTTAAGTCTGAAAACGAATCGAACGCAAATATTTAGCAGACGCTGGAGTTTAATGTTGAGATAATCAGGCAGATCGCAATAGACCAGACACGCATAGTCGAAGTGTGGTAGCACAAGGGCAACAACCAACTCCTTGCGAAGGGCTAACGGCAGAATCGAACCTCTTCTCCGCAACTTATGCAGCGCACCGTGCACACGCGATAAAACCTGGGCCACCTGCGAGTTCCACTGAAGACTATTAGACATGATGAGCCCTAAGTCCCTTACAGTAGGCACGAGCGGAATGACGTTATCTCCAATGACGATTGGATATAGTGCACGCAAATCCAGGAAGCGTAATTGTTGGACTGATCCGAATAGCATAGCCGTCGTCTTAGCATAGTTGATATCAATTCCACACATGATTGACCAATTTACTACGCGATTTCCATCCTGGTTTAGTTTCAAGATTCCATCGTTTACCTCATTAGGTTTGCACTGAATGTAAATTTGGAGGTCATCGGCGAAAAGCATACCAACAGAATGGAATAGGACAAGTAAAAGAGAATTTATAAATATCAGAAATTTGATAGGGCCAGATACAGAACCCTGTGGAACCCCTGAAGTGGCTACGAGGAACTCTGAGATAGTACCGTCAAGATCAAGCACTCCCTGGAAACGGCCCATTATATAAGAGTAGATAAACATAACAGCATCATCCGAGAAGTTTAACTTACTTTAATCACAAGAAGCACAGTATGATCGAGAGAGTCAAACGCCTTCTTGAAATCAAATAAGAGCAAGATTGTTACATGCCCCTCATCAAAGACAAGGCGAATATCCTCAGTGATCTTCAAAAGAGCTGTCTGCGTGCTGTAATGCTTGCGAAACCCCGATTGGAAATCAGAAATGAGATTGTTTCCCTCCAAAAAATCAGTGATCCGCTGGGCAATAATTTTATCGAAAATCTTGGCAAAATGAGTTAGATTAACAATCGGACATGTGTCTGACGGAGTTTTAGGGATTGGGACCTTACTAAGGGGAATGATTGCAGCCCTCTTCCATCTGGTGGGATACTGCCTAGTCTCCAGCGACATATTAAGTAGATTTGTTAGCGAGAGGACTAGTGAAAGAAAAACTTGCTTGAAGTAGGTAAGAGACAAACCATCAAATCTACGGCCCTTCGCCCTCGGAAGACAGGATTTGAGAGAATTCAAAACTTCAGTCTTGGTAATCGGCGCAAATGAAAAAATTTCAAGGTTCAGCACTAATGGCAAAGCTAGGATATCTTGCAATTTGTCACTCGAACAAAGAGGATGCCTCGTAGCCATTGAACTGAAGTGACAGTTCAAATCTCGAATAGTCGGAGTGGCGAGCTAACTACATCATTCGTAATGCCAAACCTATTTAAAAGACGCCATAGTTCCGACTTACTGCACGCACCAACAAGGGACTTTGTGATATATTCTATTCGAGCTAAGTCAATGCTTTTGCGAAGCCGTCTACGGACCTCCTTATACTCCAACCAATGGAGCCGATTTCGCGAACGCTTGGCACGCTTATATAGTCGATCTCTATGCTTGCGCAGATCTTTAAGATCCGTACCAAATACTCCTCTAGGTCTTGTACGAGAATTTTTAATAAAATAAATAATTTAATAAAATATCTCGTATGTTTTCGGCTTTTCGTTTGTTGCCATTGGTGGCAAGTCTGCGAGAGGGGACAGCCACCGTGCGCCTTAGGCTGGTCTCTGCTAATTTTTCTGGGTTCTTTCTCGGTAAAGAAAGCCGGCGCTGACTTTCACAGGCCGAAGTTCGCTCTGGTTCGGGAGGTTGATACAAATAATCGAACACTTTAATTCTCTTATATTACATATGGCAATCCCATTTATTGACGCCCTTTCACAAATATCGCTACAAGATCTACTTCACCGCAGTGAGCGCGCTCGCTCAACCTTTCGCGGGATCACGCGAGCGAGATCGCTCAGCGTGCGCGATAAATTTCTCGCGATACGCTAATGTCTGTAATCGAGCGAGAGCTGGCGCGAGAGAGATAAACTGGCTTTAGACCCACTGGATGCCGACGGTCTGTCGGTAGAAAGGCGACACCGGCGAAAGCGTAGACCCTTGGTACGCCTACACTTGGTCGCTGCGCTCGCGCGAGGAGAGTACCGCACACATGGCTAGCGAACATCGCTATAACCCTGTCACAAGTCAATAAGTTTGATTGTCTTCTTCATTGCTCCATTGTTTTGAAAAAAAAAGTGTTAATTTAATATTTGAATGGTTTGTTAGTTTAAATAAATGGAATACACACCATTACTAGTATTACTTCATCAGGTCGACAAATAAAATCTGCTGTAAATTTTTTCAACATCGTGGGTGGTGTTCGCGCTCGTAAATGGTGATGGTGTTGTATAAGTACTGCTTGTCTTCCTAGCATTTGACTCTTAGTGGCAATTCCACTTAAACTCATTAGTTTTTGCTGCTCCTTCACAGCTTTTCTCTTTTTTTCTATCCGAGCTATAGTCTAACACTCGCGCATTATTCGTGCACGGCGCTCTAGATCCTTCCTAGAATGCACAGCACCGGATTTACGTTGTTCAATGTTGTTAGCTATTTATTGAGCTTGTCTTAAAAAATTAATTAAGTTCTGCTGCAACTGAAAGAAACAAAATAAATTATTAACAATTAAAATATATTTCTAATATAAAATTAATTTACCTGGTAAATGATACCAATCATTATTAAAATATGAGCCCCTTGAAGGGTTTCCGATTTAATTATCTGAAGCATCTGAAAAAAATGGAAATGATTTTAAATTAACGACATAGATAAAAAAGATAAAAGAAAAAATACGTACCATGACGAGTACACTAATTAGCAATTCGTATAGAATCTCCAATAGAATGAATTGAGCTGTAGGCTAAATATTTATTATTAAAAAATTGTTCAAAGAATACACTAAATTATTATACATAAAATGTAAATATATAGACTTCAAGAATGTTATAAATTGACTAATGAACTCCATTTTCTCAAAATATAGTTTAGCATCAAGATAAGAGCATAACACGAACCATAAAGTAAATGATACTGAGTTATAGAACTTCTGAGGAACTAGTTTCAGCGGAAAACTTTATATAGGGAAATTTCTTACTCTTTTGACAGCGAAAAACCCTCCTCTCGGTAAATAATGCTCTTTGTAAAATTGATCTGCTAAAAATATTTTTTACTTTTGAAAATAAAAAAGAAAAAAAGGGTGAACAACAGGTGAATAGCAAGGACAATCCGCAAAAAAAATTTATATGAACAGATACTTTCCATTTCATCAAGTCACACTGAATTGGAACGGGAGAGGTAGCACGCGCTCGAGCCCTATGCCAAATATGTAGCTAGTATATACACTGAGAACTATACAAGGTACACGTTACAGTGGCTCCAATAGTAAAGCGCCGGCCTGCGGACCTAGAGAACGCTAGTTCGATTCTCCGACTCATCCATTCATTTTTTGAAAATGAACCACAAGTATCCGCTAACAATGATAAGAAGTCGATTCCACCCTAAACGGACCCCCTCCCCTCGAGCCCCCTAAAAACAGGTTTGCAGCATCTTAAATGATGTTGAATGGACTTGGGCAACTAAAAATTTTATATGGTTGTTAATTTTTAAAGTGGCCTAACTCCATTCTTAATAAGAAAACACATATGGTTCACTTAGCAATAGCCACTATTTTAACGGAAACTATCAATTTAAACCCCTTAGATACATTCAAGCAGATGACTCATTAGTATCCAATACATATATTTTTAAATTTATTGAAACGCAAATCCTTAAATATCTCTATTTGAAGATAAACGATGTTAGGCCACTTTCAAAATAAAACAGCAAAATATTCACGCTTATGCCGACACTACACCGACTTGTACAGACACAAGTCTTTTTGATTCTATTACCCGCCAAACATGATTTATATCAGACTATACTAAAGAATAATTTAAGGAATTCCCCAACTCATCCCACAAATAGAGAGACGTCGGTTTCGAACTCCAACTAGCCGACACATGAACATATAGCTCATAGAGTTATATCATAACGGTTTGGAGAATTGATGCATCCTGCTATTCATTTACACATTAGTTGGAAGAATAAATAGTTTACTATTGACGCATTCATTGACTTTAACAACATCGTCGAGATATTTTCCCGCTTTTGCTATTCTCGAAAAACGTACATTTCAAGTAACTTACAGGATGTAGACTATCTGCGTGCTAAGAAGACGAAAGAATAGTATTCATAAAAGTACTGCACACGTAATTATTTCAGTAAAAAGTACGAGATAAATAAAAATAGTAATCAATAATAGAAATAAATGAATTATTTCTGTTGAAATTTTACTAACCTCTTTTCGCATTCACGTTTTTCTTCCTCATTGCTCCAAATTTTGAGAAAATACAGAAGTAAGTAACCTATTTTAGGTTGAATAATTTGTAATTCACATAATACAGCAGATAGCTTTTTTTTTCTATAATCTTCTTCTTTACACAATTGAAATTGGTTTCTAAACATGACAAATAGTGGGGTACTGATACTATCGATCAATGATTCATCATTGGGACTATTTGGAAAGATAATTGAATCAATTTGTTTCAACAAATTATTGGATAAATAAGAGACTAAAGTAGATAATATATCAGCATCAATTTCCTCTTCTAATATAATCTGTATTACTTTTTCTGTTGTTTGACATCTAACTTCATTATCACTTTCATAATATAAACTTTCTATTAAATTTTTAAGTTGTTGAAATTCCGTTGGGATGGTTGACGATATAAAACTGTTTTTATCATAAATATTACACTTATGGGTGTTTTTTGCTAAAATTTTATCCGGTGATATTATTTCAATATTTTCCACTCGTACTGTTATACTGAAAAAAAAGTTAAGTAGGTATTAATTATTATTTTTATGAAATATATTAATATAGTAGATTTTGAGCTACAGGTTGATTAAATATACTATGAAAAATCAAGAAACTTTTTTTCTTCATATTTAAATATCATTATTTATTACATTCAAGGAAAAACATAGTTCAAAAATACGTAATTTTTCAGCCAAGTAATTTCTGGTTTTAAAGTGTCAAATACTTCGAATGACCAATTATATTAAAGCTCCTAACAAGACAAAAACCTACAACAAACAACATTCGGAAAACTCTAATATGCATATAATTTATACACAAAAAAATGGTACCGTCATATTTTATATATCCCCATACCGTGCACACTAGCATCAGTGCGTTGTGTTACCAATACGTTTATACGTCGTGTAGCATGATACCTTTCTGAGTGAAACGAACATTCAAATGCAACAGCGACGCGGCATTTAGGGTTCCGGGCGATGCACAGTGGGATATTTCTGATTTTTTTTCCTATATATTTTTTTTCTTATAAGCCGCAATTTTCACCCGATTATGATGATTTTTAAAACTACTCATAATTAGTTTTACTTTTTGATTTTCGAGTGCCTTATTACAATTATTAATATTATTATGATTATTAACAATATGAGTGAATAAATAATACTTAAGATAAGTGAAACTTTCAGATACAAGGTTTTCGGATGCAAAATATTAGTTTTTATGTCAAAATAAAAAGATATTCAATATTATCTTTCAAAATCAATAATTTGACACTATTTATTATTTAAATAATCACAAGGAACTATGGGCAAAAATATTGTCGATAATAATATCTTGTCAAAAATATTTGTGTCCGCGTGTAAATATATACGAGGTGTGTTCAAAAAATAACGAGAATTTTCGTTTTATGAAAAAAATATTTATTTATTCATCTACATTAATGTTGTCGCCTTCAAAGTAGTCCCCTTCGGATACAATACACTTATGCCAACGCTCTTTCCAATCCTCGAAACACTTTTGAAACTCGATCTTTGTAATAGCTTTTAGCTCTTTCAGCGATTCGCTTTTAATGTCATCTATGCTTGTAAAACGACGGCCTTTTAATGTTCTCTTTATTTTTGGAAATAGAAAAAAGTCACATGGAGCCATATCTGGCGAATATGAAGGCTGAGGCATCGTTACAGTTTCGTTTTTGGCCAAAAATTCACGAACAAGCAATGAAGTGTGAGCAGGCGCATTATCGTGGTGCAAAAGCCAAGAATTGTTTTGCCACAAATCCGGGCGTTTTTTTCGGATTGCTTCACGCAAACGACGTTGAACTTGTAGGTAGTACTGCTTATTGATTGTTTGACCTTGTGGCAAGAATTCATAATGCACTATGCCATTAAAATCGAAGAACACAGTGAGCATAACCTTCACATTCGACCGTACTTGTCGAGCCTTTTTCGGTCTTGGCGATCCAGAATGCCTCCACTGGGACGATTGAGCCTTAGTTTCGACATCATATCCGTAAACCCATGTTTCGTCACCTGTTATAACACGTTTTAGTAGTTCTGCATCGTTATTGACTTCATTTAGCGACTCCTGAGCAACTTCCATTCGCCGCTGTTTTTGTTCGAAATTCAACAATTTTGGAACGAATTTTGCTGCCACACGTTTCATACCCAAAACATTCGAAAAAATTTGAGGGCACGAGCCAACTGATATGCCAACATCATCAGCGACTTCTCTGATTGTGATTCGGCGATCGTTCATAACCATTTCTTTCACTTTTTTCACGTTTTCATCGGTTGTTGATGTGCTTGGGCGTCCGGGTCGTTCGTCATCTTCAACGTTTTCGTGGCCATCTTGGAAACGCTTATACCACTCATAAATCCTTGCTTTACTCATAGCAGACTTACTATATGCCTTTGTTAACATTTGACAAACTTTACTACACTTTATTTCATTTTTTACGCAAAATTTAATACAAATTCTTTGATCCATTTTTTTTCACAAACGAAAATCGCCGAGCTCGAAAAACACGTCTAACGTTAGCGGCTGCCACTTAAAAAGTAAGCAATGAATATTGCTGAAAATTTTATCGTACTTCAGGGGCATGTGTACCAACATAATAAAAAAAAATTTTATACAAGCGGACTCTCCAAACCCGCGAAATTTAAAAATTCTCGTTACTTTTTGAACACACCTCGTATTTTTAACTTTTTCTACTCACACAATTTAGATTCTGTATAACGCATTCACTTAATTGATCACTAATATTTAGAATTTGAGTGAACAATAAAAAACAAATCATCAATAAAAATAAAATAATATAATAAAAAGTAAAATATAATGAAATAATAAATAAAATAAGAATAAATAAATTTTAAACGATTCAAGTGAACAACGGATAAGAATGAATTAATTATATCTCATTAATTTTTTTTTAAATGATTGGATCGAGGAAAAATAAGAAAAATCGTATTTTATTTTATTTATATTTGTGATTAAGCGTATAAAGAATACGGAATCCGAATTCTATACGTAAGAAAAGTAAAAAATGTATATTTACACACCAATTCAAATATTATTGACCGACAGGTTATAGATCATTGTAATTATTTAAATAATACATAATGTTAAATTAATTATTGATGTGGGAAGACAATATTGCAATGTGTTCTTATTATCCTCGTTAAAACTAATAATGTATCCGAAAAATTTGTCTCTGAAAGATTCACTTATCTTAATATAATTTGATGAAAAGCTACATTAATAATGAGTTCAATTTATCAAATGCTAAATTTCTCAAGAGTATTTGTACATCATGCCGACTTACTATTACTGAACAAGAAAAAAATAATAAATATAATAAAATAATATAAAAATAATAAAAATAATAATAAAGACCACTTGATGATATGTCGAACTATGAAGATCTTAATTTAGTTAAACAGACCAGAACAGTGATTTGTAATTGTTATATATGTTTTACTGCCAGGAAGGAGGCGCACTCAAAAATATCTAAGGATCGAGGACACAAACGTGAGTTATTCAATAATATTGATACCAGGAATGGTATTGACAGTGTTAAACAAAATATACAGCTTCCTAAAAGTGAAAAAAAAATTGATCAAATGGTAGTTTGAAAGATAGTGAAATTATCTTAAATACTTCAGGTTCAAAAGCTCGAGTGGTATTAAATAAAAAAAAAGGAGAAAGAAATACTCTTTACGACTAAGCGTTTAGATAAATATCGATCAACCACCGGAATTTTCAACAGAAAAATGAATACAATGACCAATTTTAATCGAAGTTTTGTTCCAAATTTTGTTCGAAAATCTATCCCGAAAAGTTTAAAAACCATATGCAAGAAAAGTCTGCATCGAATAGATAATATTTGCAAAACAGTTATTAACAAATTTGAGATCAGCAAAGATAAAAAAGAAGTTCTAGAAGATAGACCTGTAATTTACGCTAATGCATCAGATCTTCTTGACGTAATTTTTGAAAATCGAGATATAACCTAGATCGGAAATGTTAGAATAAAGGTAATGACTGAAGGAAGAAAAGGATTTTTCAAAATTTCTTTCGCAGTTTTAACAGAATACTCATGCTCTCCTGAAGATGTAATAAAAGAACATCATACTTTTGTGACGTCTAATAGTGAATCACAGACCTGTGTTTAGATCTTCACTAGAGCTAGGAAACAGAAAGATCACAAACCTATGCTTAGATATCTCGTATTTCCCGTTGTCCTCAGGACGAATGGTGAGGTCGTTTCTAAGGTTCTTTTTTTACAAGTAAAGCGCAGTTATGCGCCTGTTAAGGGGGTATCCTCGTATAGATCGATCGAAAAATCGATTTTTTTTTTATTACATAAGTCGATAGTATAACATGTCAATAGTATGCTGTTAAAATTTTAAAGTAAAATTCGCAGCGGTTTCGATGCTATGGCTATTTTCTTTAACGTTGTGCGACGCGCTGCCGGAGTGCGGCGCAGGTAGGCAGGTACGCGCTCGAATACAATAGGTGCCCCGCTGAGTTTGGGTCTTCGAAATGCTTCGTAATTGTACTATGGCAGATGCTATTCCAATTTTGGTTGTATTAGTGCGTATACTTGTGTAAATAAGAGGATTACTACAGTCTAAGCCGACTGAAAGTATAGGTAGAAAGGTTTATTTCGAAGAGTTTTACAACAGTTGGCTCAGTATTCTCGTAGCTATCGATTAGTTCACTGCTGTTTTGCGTGCAAAATGTCGTCTTACCCTAAAGGTTAAAAGGCCGGGAGGTATCGAGCATCAGAACGCAAGCGTTCTTTTCAAGGAAACCAGCATACAACGGAAACGGACGAGCCAAAAGGTGCTAGTGCAAGTGCCCGAAAATTGTCAGCAGCATCTACTGATGATGTTTCGATTGACTATGATCATCGGTACCGCATAATCGAGTTTGTGACAGTTTTTACCGTGTTGAGTGAACTACTGTGCTGCAAAAAATGCAAAGGAGGGGTGAATTTCAAGGAGGCTGGGCATTGCGGTCTCGGTTGGAAACTAGTGATTTCGTGTAGATGTAATGACACTCAAGTGAACTCTGGCCCTTTCATCAATAACGGCTTCGAAGTCAATCGTAGAATAGTGTTTGTGATGAGACTTTTAGGTGTAGGCTTGAAAGGCCTCAATTTATTCTCAAGTTTGATGGAGTTTGGTGAAGGATTAAGTAAAAAGGCATATGATGGCATATTGGAGCATATACATCAAGCGTCGAAGATCTGTTTTATGAGTAGTTGCCAAAGTGCTATTGAAGAGGAGAAGAAGCTCAACGAACAAAATGACAGGCCACTTCTACAGTTAAAAGTTTCAGGCGATGGATCGTGGAAAAAGCGTGGTTTCTCATCAAAACTTGGTGTCACCAGTTTGATTGCATACGAAAGCGGGAAAATCATTGATTTAGTCGTGAAAAGCTCGTTATGTCAAGCGTGCGCAACATGTAAATACAAAAAAGACACACAAGAATATCTGGACTGGTAT